GCCCACATGGGCTGCACGTGATGATTATCTAGTTTTTTTGTTTAATTTCTTATATATTAATTGGAGAGTAATTTTATGAAAAGAGCTTATGTGTCCTCACTAAATTCATTCTCACAATTTTATTGTGACATGACATTGTAAAAAATATGACATGGCATTCACACCAAACTCTTCAAAAAATCGGCCCAATATTCACAAAAATATTATGCATATAACCAAACTTCTTTATATTAACACAAATCAATTATTATCAATTATTAACCAAATTTCTTCAAAAAATGGGCCAAAATTAATTATTATTCCAATTTCACAACAAATCGGCCCAATATTCATAAAAATATTATTCATATAACCAAACCTATTTATATTACCCCAAAATTTTAGAACATATTTTCATATAAATAACTTTTTACTGAAATTTATGAAAAAGAATTAACAAGTTTTTTTAAAAAGATTTTGTTTTGTTTGTTTTGTGACAAAAATTTCAAATTTAGAAAAAAAAAATATACATATTCTTAAAAATAACAAATCTAACACAAGATAATTTGAAAATAACAAAATCATTTAAGATAAAATGTATCAAAATTTTATATCTTTATATTAAATCCCTTATATATTAATTGGAAAGCAATTTTTTGAAAAGAGCTTATGTATCCTCACCAAATTTATTCGCACAATTTTAATGTGATATGACATTGTAAAAAAATGACATAGTATTCACACCAAACTCTTCAAAAAATCGGCCCAATATTCACAAAAATATTCTGCATATAACCAAACCTCTTTATATTATCTCAAATCAATTATTAACCAAACCTCTTCCACAAAGGGCTTAAATCAATTATTAGCCTAATTTCACAACAAATCGACCCAATATTCATAAAAATATTCTTCATATAACCAAACCTATTTATACTAGCCCAAAATTTTAGAACACATTTTCATATAAATAATTTTTTACTGTAATTTATGAAAAAAAATTAACAAGTTTTTTTAAAGAGATTTTATTATGTTTTGTGACAAATACTTTTCAAATTTAGAAAAACAAAATATACGTATTCTTGAAAAAAAAAAAATCTAACACAAGATAATTTGAAAATAAAAAAATCATTTAAGATAAAATGTATCTAAATTTTATATTTTTATATTAAATATATATATTTTTTTTGAAAAATCAAAACTTACATATTTTACATGCTAATATTTGAAAAGCTAATATTCAAATTTTATATTTTAAGAAAATCAGTTTATGCATTGTGATATTATATTTAATGTTTAGTAATAAAACACTGTGAAAAGTTCAATATGAAATAAAAAGATTGTTGGGGTCAAAACTCCCCTCGGATGAAATAACTAGGAAAATGACTAAGTGTTGTTTTCTGGTAAGCTGGCTAAGTCAACGTGCAGAATGGCGAGCTGACCAATGAGGGCGAGCTGACCAAGCTGGTTGGCAAGTTGACTAAGTCAACAGATAAAGTGGCGAGCTGGTTGGGATATTGGCGAGCTGCCTTGAGCGAGTTGAAACAACGAGCTCGACAAGGGACAATGTGACAAGCGCAATTAGTCCAAGGCCCAAGACATAAGTCGGCGAGGTCAAGCCCAAAAGAGATACAAGACGAGCTGAAAGCCCATGAAGAACGAACCGGCCTCAAAAACAGAAAATCTCTAGAAAATAGGAAATCTTCCTTATCTCTTTAGGAGTTGGCTTAGCCGACCTAAAACTTGTATAAATAGACTTGTACATCTCTTGAGAAAGAGATCTGCAATTTTACTCACAAACACTTTGCAAGAATCAATAAAGCTTTTCATTACAGCAAATTCGCATCTTTGTTCTGGTCTTAGTAGTTCTAGCTCAGAGATCTCAATTTTCTTCTAAAAACCCTAACAAATTCTATTGTGTTGGTTTCGACCTCCACAAAGATCAAACCATAGAAAATCATCGTTCAATAAATGAAATTGATTTTTAAATCTTATATTTTCCTAATTATCACATATAAAAGAGAAATCGTTTTCTTTAACAAAATATGAAAAAGTGCGAGCGACATTAACCATTATTAAAATAGAAAACAACAAAAGTTTGGAAAACAAAAGAAGAAGAAAACGTAGTATACTTCGTTAACGTTGTATGAAAATTTTTATTATTTTTTTTTTTACGAAAAGTTTCTCACATTAATCTTTTCATATTTCGATGTCGAATTCAATTTTTATTTAAAACTCTATGTGAAGAAAATTATATATTTTTTTAAAAGATGATCAAATAGGAGATTCAATCTTTTCAATTTTTGATAATAGATTGTGCACTCCAATATATATGTTTACATATATCAAATAATGAAATGGTAAAACTAAACTTCCAAAAATTTGTATTATTAACAAAAAAAATTTACAACAAAATATCAACAACAGTGTCTATAATAAAAATATTAAAAAAATATATATATTTCACATTTTCAAAGTATAAAATTAAAAAAAAAAAACTATAAATAAATTGCCCGCGTAGACGCGGAAGAGTCACATAGTAATTAATATTTGTGGAGATGCATGAACTAATTGTATGTGTATATAATTTATTTGCAATGGTTGATAGGGAATATGGGCTGGTATGATATTCGGAGGAACTGCATGCAGACGTTGATATTGATTATTATCACTTCCAGATGTGATTGGGAAAATGAGGTAACATGGTGAATATTACAAAAATATCATTTTTATACAAAGTTATGTCTATATCTACATTATAGGAATTTTTTAATAGAGAATATTATATTTCTTTATCAGATTTTCAGTCACTACTAGTATTTTGTTTGTTACCTAGCTCGTTACACTAAAGTAATATATATCTTACGGTGTTTAAACATTGCAGGCACATAAAGCAAGTGTGCGCATCAAAAAATGGTCGGATGCAAGAAATTGAAGAATGTATCTAAATTTGAAGCATGAATTCCATAAAATGAGATTGTCTTCTTCATTGAGCAAAAAACAGAACATTTGTTCTCTATCTCATTTAATTATTCAATTGAAATTAAAACAACCAGTTAATCGGTATATAATATATATAGTATCCGTATTGAAGTTTGTAAGACCGAAACCCAAGCAATATGGCATGATTGGTTAGAAATACGCATTGCTTCACG